TGTACAATAATTATATCACAGTGCTGGAAATTTTGGAATTATATATAGAGATATTTATATAAATATATATGATATATAATATCAAATATAGATATAGATATACTTATACTTATATAAATACATATATCAGTATGTTTGCATATGTTTGTGTATTTCCCCTAAAAATAAATCTAAAACTATACAAGTATTTTATTTTACTTTTTGAGTGTAAAAATATCCCTATTGAATATTTGATACTAACCTAGATGTACATGACACTGGTTTAGGAATCCCTCAGGCATACATAATCTCAACTGCATCAAATTACAACATTTTAATTACAGAAGCATATGACTCTTCATATATTCTTTGTTTTATCACTATTATATTGATGGCTAAAGCTCTGCCATAGCACTGAGACTTGCTTTTAAAGACAGATACTATATGTTTGATTTACAGCTGTTATATACAGAACAAAAAATGTGATCTATATGAGTGCAATTGATATCTTTTCTTAACCATATAAGAATTTTAACAAGCAAAGACCCTAGTTTAATGGGAATACAGACAACTATAAACAATAATTGAAAGGAAAATGACAGTTTCATTCATACACAGTAAATTTTAAAGTTATTTTAGAACATTAAAACTATAATAGTATAACATTCAAATGAGTGGATAAAGAAAATGTAGTATACATACACAATGGAATATTACTCAGCTATAAAAAATGAAATTCTATCATCTACAGCAAAATGAATGCAACTAGGGAACATCATGTTGAGTGAAATAATGTGGATTCAGAAAGATAAATACCACATGTTCTTCCTTGTATGTGGGAGTTACAATTTAACAACAACAATAAAGAAAACAAAAGAAAAAAGAAAGAAATGTCTGTGCACTAGTTTTACTGTGAATACAGTTTTAAAAAAAATTATTTTATACCTTTGTCTAACCAATGGTTAAGAATGTTATACTAATATAATTTTAAAATATTCAAGTATTTTAAAAATATATTTGTATATATAAATTTTTCTGTTTGTATGTAAAATTATTATATTGCATCACTTTAAGCCTAAAATTAGTATATCTCTTTTCATCTAATTTACTCAATTGAATAACAAACTGGTTTTTTAAAAGGCTGTCTAAACTAATATTCTGTAGTGACTTATCCAAGAAAATACTTATTCTATTCAGAAGTCTGAACTTCTATTTTGTTCTTCAGTCGGTCACGTAATTCACCACAAAGCTCTATGTTTGCTTTATCAATCAGGTGCAAAGGCTATTAATTCCTTCTTCCATGCCTGGAAGTGCCTCAGGTATCTATGTGAATGGCAGCAGTGAGTTTTCTGTGAAGTTTGTGGTAGGCCTGGTGAAGTTAGTAAATATGCAAGGAACTTGTCTCCAATTTTATAACTGACATAAGGACTTGGCTCAAGTTAGATCATTCTCCGTAGACTAGAACAATTACTTTCGTTTCAGTAGACTAGAACAATTTTCTTTTGGGACCACCCAAAACTTGTTTTAAGACCTGTGATGTGACTGGTCTCTCTCTCTTTGAGGAGCCCAAACCCCCAGCACTGAAATGCATCTCAGGGGAGTTAGGTTTGGATATTGCTTTTCCAGTAACTGACTGAGGGTTTGAATCCTGTGCAATAGTTTCACCGTCTGTGTGACGTTGACCTCTCTTACACCTCAACTTCACCATCTGTAAAAGGAGATGATAAAAGTGCCAACTTCTTGGGGCTGGCGCCATGGCTCACTTGGCTAATCCTCCACCTGCGGAGCCGGCATCCCATATGGGCGCCAGTTCTAGTCCTGACTGTTCCTCTTCCAGTCCAGCTCCTGCTGTGGCCCAGGAAGGCAGTGGAGAATGGCCCAGGTGCTTGGGCCCTGCACCCGCATGGGAGACCAGGAGGAAGCACCTGGCTCCTGGCTTTGGATCGGTGCAACTCCGGCTGTAGTGGTCATTTGGGGGTGAACCAACGGAAAGAAGACCTTTCTCTCTCTCTCTCTCTCTTACTGTCTATAACTCTACCTGTCAAATAAATTTAAAAAAATAAAAAGAAAAAAAGTGCCAACTTCTTGACGTTGCTGTGAGAAAACAGAAAGACAATGATTATAAATTAGAATCATCCTAGGCTACATACAAAGAACACATGTGTTATCTATCACAATGTAGTAAAATCTGGTTTTGTCATAATTCCCATTAGCTCACCTCACAAAGCTCTAATGAGAATCAAATAACAGAATAAATGTTATATTATTTTTTAGCACTGCATATCAAATTACCACAACACTTTACTATCTTATAGCTTCTAGCTGTCAGAAATCCAGATACGGTTAGCCAGGCTCTTCTGAGACTCAGACTAAAATCAAGGTATCAGCTGAAGCACCTTGCTCTCTGGACTTCTAGGTCTTTCTCCAAGCCCACATGGTTTTTGGAGGAATTTATTTCCTTGTGTTTGTAGGACCACTGGCTCCATTTTCTCACAAGATGTCAGCCAGAGGTTGCCCTTAGCTGTTCCCAGTCGTGTGGCTCTGCCCATAAGATGGCATTTGCTTTCTTTCAATCCCCTGTCACCAGCCAAAGAAAACTCTCTACTTTTAAAGCGCTTGCTTGTTTGGATCAGGACCCCCAAGATGACCTGTCTTTTGCCATGTAATGCAATCTGATCACAATTTAATATCTCAATATGTTCACATGTTCCATCTTCGCAAAAGAGATCATATGAGGTTCTCGGGAGTAATTTTAGAATTATGCCATCCACAAATGTGAACATGATGTGAAAAATAAAAATGATTCATAAGAAGAGAGTATTATTATGAAAGATTTTTATTGTCATCACCGTCCTTATTACAATATCAACAAATAATGTTGTACAATACTGTTTACCTATTTTCAATGCTTTACCTTAGCGGTATGGAGGACTCTCACTTATCTGATAATTATGCATTTCAGAGGTCAGCCCTGGTTTCATTTAACACTTCGAATACCTTGTCTGGTTGGCTGAGATACTTATTTCCATATTGCTCTGTAAATAACTGAAACGTGGCATTCCCTCAAAATAAAGTTCCACGGAGAGATCTATTTCTGATGGAGTCACCCGTCCGTGAAATGCTCACCAGTCACCAGTCCATGAAATGCTCAAAAATTATCACCCTTATGTGATCGCATATGTGCGTCAATCCTGAAATTCCCTGTGGCCTGGTTGTACTCAATCTTGAAACAAATTAAGGAAAATGACTTAATGATATTTAACACAGGAGCTAAGATGGGAGACTCAGAGATGTTTATTCATTAGCGTGGGAGTGAGCTTAAGGCAACCCATTTGGCTGTGGCTGTCATTTGATGGGCACTCATTGAAACAACTCAACAAATATATAATAAAAGAATAATGTAGGGCACAGTTGAAAATATTTACATTTTTCATCAAAATAAAATGGGAAATTTTAACAGAAATCCAAAAAATACTCCTGATGTCCTGTTAGCAGGAGTACCTTCATAGCAGAGGTCAATTCCGTATCCACATAAAGATTGGCACTCTTTTTTTTTTTACATAAAATTAAGTAGAATTTCATAAAGTTATGAATGCAGGCTATAGATTATATCTATGTTCAAGATAATCTCTGCCATTGTTGGCAATATGACCTTGGATGAGTTGTGTTTTTTTACTTAAATTTAGCTTCTACCTTTTAGCATAGGATTAATATAACAGTATTTCAAAAAAGTTGTGAAAGATCAAATTAAAGGATAAATTTATGGGGTGAGCACTTGACCTAGCATTTAAGATGTCAGGCAGCATGCCTGCATCCCATATTGAGTGCCTGGTTTCAAGTCCCAGCTCCACTACCTGTTTAAACTTCCTGCTGATGTTCACTGTGGGAGGTTGGATCTCTATCTGCCGTGTGGGAGACCTGGATTTGTTTCCTATCTCCCAGCTTCAGCCTCTCCAAGTCCTAGGCATTGCAAGCATTTAGGGATGGAATAAGCAGATAGGAAATCTCTGTCTGTCTCTATTTGTCAGACTTTTGAATTTAAAAAGCACATTACCAACACCAAACAAAAATTTACTGTGATTCAAAAATTTTTGAAACCCATGCAAGTGAGTGGGTCCTCAAAAGATTCATGAAAAATGCCTTTTATGAAAAAAATTATTCACGCTTTTTAAATTCAATTTTTGTACCAAAATAAACTAATTTCTTTTTTAATGCTCTATTATTTATTTATTTTCATCTACTTGAATGGCAAAGCAATGAGAGAGAGAGAGAGAGAGAGAGAGAGAGAGAGAGAATCTTCCATCCACTGGGTCCCTCTCTAAATGTCTGCAACAGCCAGGGTTGGCCCAGGTGGAAGACAGGAGCCTGGGATTCCATCTGGGTCTCCCATGTATGTGGCAGGGGCCTGAGCACTGGAGCTATCATCTGCTGCCTCCTAGAGTGCATTAACAGGAAACCAGCCAGGAAGAGGAGTAAACAACTTGAACTAGAAGCCAGATCTTAAGTGATGGCTTAACCCATTGTGCCACAGTGCCCACTCTGAAACTTACTCTTTAATTTTATTTTTTAAAGAATTTTTTGAAATACTTTTGTACTATCTACTTCAGAACTGTGAGGATTAAGTGAGATAAGCTATTCTAACCTCATAGAGCAATGTGTGATACATACTGAGCATTTAGTAAGTGATGACTAGTATTTTCATTGCTATGATTATTTATTTAAATGGTAGTAAAGCATGATATTATGTCTGGATCATACTAAGTGCTCAGAAACATAACTTTCTTCTCTTTTCCCCTATATTTGTTTGAGGAGTTTAACTGGATCTCTGAAAGAGGGTCCTTCAAGATTATCAATCTGAAATAGCCAGACATTACCATTTACTTAATTTTATAAAATTTCTTCTTCCCTTTCTCCTTGCCTCCTTGCCTTCTTTTCTGTCTTCCACCTTCCCGTTTTATTCTTTCCTTCCTTTATCTTCTCCTTCTTTTCCTTTTCTTCCTCCATCCTTTTTCCTCAAGCAGATATTATTTTAAATTTCCGAACAACTTACGTCAGCAAATCTGGCCAAGTGATCTTTGAAGCAAGATCAATTTGCATCCACTATGTCACAACTTGGTTCATCATCGATTTAATCGCCGCCCTGCCTTTCGATCTCCTATATGCTTTCAACGTCACAGTGGTGAGTAGAGAGCTCCCTTCCACCTCACCTTCAAGTTTGGTTTTATTCTTGTGCTTATTTTTACAGGTTTTAAATGTTGATGGCAATTTGTGATGCCAGGCTTTTTTGTGTACTTTCCCATTTCCATTTATATAAATAGCCAGAAACAGAATGTACAAAAAGCCTGAATTTGTCCTAAAAAGCCTAACTGTCCAAATAAATTTTTCGGTAAGGAAAATATCTGTAGAAATGTAAGCATTACTTTGTATTTCCTAGACATATATTTGCCTCAAGAGTTTGATGGGGAGCTTGAACAAGTTTTTTTTCTCCTTTTATGACCTACTTCTAAATATTTAATTATCCATTTGGCAAAACCAACCAAAAACTGGTGGAGATAAGAAGGAATGCTAAAATTAAAATAAAGGAACTAAACCACAATTTATAAGTCCCTGTAAAAATGTTGTCTAGGCAGAAGCCTAAAGGACACAATAAATAACATAAAACTTGAGAGTTCTTTTGAATTTGAGCTGTTTGCACCTACTGTAAACCCCCTGTCCTCGTGTCTCCTCACAGGGCAGAAAGTATGGGTACCTGTGGTCGTAACTGTCTTTACTGTTTAGTACTTGATGTTCTTAAAAGTATAATGTGCTTCGTATGTAGATTTTTTAGGGAGGACCATTATTGAACCATTAATGCAATTTTCTACTAGAAAACATTAGCACATAAAAATTTACTACAGAGTAGCTTACATTTAACAAGTTTTCTATTCAGTTGACAATCCCTGTATGGAATCATATACTTTAAAAAAAAAAGATTTATTTATTTGAACAGCAGAATTACAGAGAGGCAGAGGCAGAGAGATTTTCCATCCGCTGTTTCACTCTCCAAATGACTGAAACGGCCAGAGCTGTGCTGATCTGAAGTCAGGAATCAGGAGCTTCTTCCGGGTCTCCCATGTAGATGCAGTGGCCCAGAGACTTGGGCCATCTTCCACTGCATTTCCAGGCCATAGCGGAGAGCTGGATCGGAAATGGAGCAGCCGGGTCTTGAACTGGAGTTCAAATGAGATGCAGGCCTTGCAAGTGTCAGCTTTACCAGCTATACCATAGTGCAGCCCTCAGAAATCATATTCTTTCTTAAGAATTCAAAAGTATAGTTTTCAACATTAATCAAAGTGATCACTGTTCAAATAGTTATTTTTTACTTCAAAAATGAACATAGAATTAACCCTGACTCTTTAATACAGACTTGTACAATTTGTTAATTGTCTCTATAATGGTATTTTTCTTTTCTTGTTCTTTTTTTTATGTTGGGAGATTAAGAGTGTCAACATCTTTAAGAGATTTATAACTCAGCTAAGATGAAAGCTCCCGGGAAAAATCTTGCACACAAGATCAATCAGTGCTACAGTGAATAATTATCCAGGCTTTCCAAGTACTTTTTAACATTGAATTTGTCTAGATAAGTGTACTGTAATGAAAGTATAATGACTTTAAAACATGGCTTTTCTAAGATTACAAAGAAATCTAAAACTATATAATTCACAAAATGTTAAAATAAGCTTTCTAAATTCCCCTGGCAAAATTGTTAAAGGAGGATAGAATTCTTGTTTAAATTAATTGGCTACCTTGCAATTAAATCCTAATAAAATTTTTGTATTCCATTTTTCTTTGGGTACTGACAAATTAGATAATTTTGAACTAATATATGTATCAAATAATTAGATTGTAAATGTATAATAAAAACATGTAATATACAAGGGGACTTTCAGAAGATAAGTTTATTGGTGTTGTGGTGCAGTGGGCAATGTTGGGATACCATATCTGAATGCCAGTTTGAGTCCCACCTGTTCTAATGTGCCTGGGAGAGCAGGAGAGGATGGCCCAAGAGGTTGGGCCCCCGGCACCCACATACTTAGTAGATCTGCATGGAGCTTTGTACTCCTGGCTTCTTCCTATACTAGGCCTGACCCATTGTGGCCATTTAGGGAGTGAACCAACAGATGGAAGTGCACTTTCTCTCTCTCTGCCGCTCTCTCTCTGTCACTCTCCTTTTCAAATAAATAAATAATCTTTAAAACCAGATTAGTTACTGTTGTGCAAGAAACCTGAAGTCTATGCATATTTTTTACATAATATGCCTTTTCATTAGTGGTTTTTTTTTAATTTTTTTTTATTATTTTTGACAGGTAGAGTGGACAGTGAGAGAGAGACAGAGAGAGAAAGGTCTTCCTTTGCCGTTGGTTCACCCTCCAATGGCCGCGCTGATCCGATGGCAGGAGCCAGGATCCAGGTGCTTTTCCTGGTCTCCCATGGGGTGCAGGGCCCAAGCACCTGGGCCATCCTCCACTGCACTCCCTGGCCATAGCAGAGAGCTGGCCTGGAAGAGGGGCAACGGGGACAGAATCCGGCGCCCCGACCGGGACTAGAACCCGGTGTGCCGGCGCCGCAAGGTGGAGGATTAGCCTAGTGAGCCGTGGCGCCGGCCCTTCATTAGTGTTTTGAATATTATATATCATTAACATGCTTTGATATGTTTTAAATACTTGTACGCTTTCACTGGACTCCTGCTCCATTTTTCATCATTTAAATTGTTTATAAAGAATGCCAGTTATAGATCAACATCCAGGTCAGAAAGAAAAGAGAAAAAAGGAATCTCTCTTATCAATGATTTTTTTTCCTGCTTTTCAAGGAACTGGATAATTTGTCATATATAGCAAAATGGAAGGAACTGGCAGTCATTGTATTAAGTGAAATAAGCCAGAAACAGGAAAACAAATACCACGTGCTTTCTCTCTTGTGGAGAAGCTTTAAGAAGTGAATCAGAGTCTGGGAAAGGTGAGGCAGGGATGGAAGGAATTTGGAAAATGGTCACCAAAACAGCTGGACAGAAGAAGTGAGTTCTAATGTTCCCCAACACAGGGGGATGACTGCAATGTACAATAATACGTTTATAAAGAACTGGAAGAGAGACTGCTGAAGTCTCAAAACATAAAGAAATGAAAAGGAAACTTGAATGCTAGTTACCCTGATTTGATCAGACTGCACTGTATAGATGTGTTGAAATATCACACTGTCCCATGAATATGTATGATTATTGCATGTTAATCAAAAAATTTTAAATTCATCTATAATATGAAAGAAATGGGCCTGCACTGTGGCTCACTAGGCTAATTCTCCGCCTTGCGGCGCCAGCACACCGGGTTCTAGTCCCGGTCGGGGCGCCAGATTCTGTCCCGGTTGCCCCTCTTCCAGGCCAGCTCTCTGCTGTGGCCAGGGAGTGCAGTGGAGGATGGCCCAAGTGCTTGGGCCCTGCACCCCATGGGAGACCAGGAGAAGCACCTGGCTCCTGCCATCGGATCAGTGTGGTGCGCCGGCCACAGCACGCCGGCCGCGGCAGCCATTGGAGGGTGAACCAATGGCAAAGGAAGACCTTTCTCTCTGTCTCTCTCTCACTGTCCACTCTGCCTGTCATAAAATAAAATAAAATAAAATAAAATAAAATAATAAAAAAATGAAAGAAATGAAGAAAGACTAGGCATATGATCATTCAAATAATTTACACATGTGAGGTTGGCAATGTGGTATAGCGGGATCAGCTCCTTCTTGGTTTGCCCACATCCAGTAATAGAGTGCCTGGGTTCAAAACCTTGCTCTCTTCCAATCTAACTCCTGGCTAATATGTTTCTGGGAGGCAGCAGATGATGGCCCACATTCTTTGGTCCCTGCCATCCACATGGGAGACCATGATCAAGTTCTTGGCTCCTGGTTTTATCCTGGCCTAACCCAAGTTGTTGTTTTTTGGGGAGGGAACTAATAGATGTATGATCGTTCTCTCTCTTGCTCGCTCTCGCTCTTGCTCTCTCTCCCTCTCCCCCCATTATTCTGTCTTTCAAATAAATTAACAACTATTAGCACATAAATTTATTATCTTCCTTTAAGAAACTGGGCAGGGGGGCCAGCGCCGTGGCTCTCTTGCTTAATCCTCCGCCTGTTGCACGGGCATCCCATATGGGCACTGGTTCTAGTCCCGGTTGCTCCTCTTCCAGTCCAGCTCTCTGCTGTGGCCCGGGAAGGCAGTAGAGGATAGCTCAAGTGCTTGGGCCCCTGCACCGGCATGGGAGACCAGGAGGAATCACCTGGCTCCTGGCTTCAGATCAGTGCAGCGCCAGCCGTAGCAACCATTTGGGGGGTGAACCAACGGAAGGAAGACCTTTCTCTCTGTCTCTCTCTATCACTGTCTATAACTCTGTCAAATTAAAAAAAAAAAAAAAAACTGGCCAGAATGAAACATTCTATTTGAACAGAAAAGCTCATTCAAAGTGTTACATTTCCTTCGTGGGAGAATGGATGTTACTATGAATAACTTATTAGTTATGTTATATTGCAAATAGTTAAAAATGAAGAGAAAGAAATAAATAAGCTACCAAAGGTATCTGTCTTCCAGATCTAACGAGTGCCCCATTATGGAATCCATAGATGGCATTCAACAATGTAAAATAGCCACAGAAATGTATTTTTTGCATGCTTTGGCTTTAGCTCTACTCATAATTGTACATAGAAATTGTTTTAAATACAGTGAACGCATTTATTTATTGAACCCTCTCATGGCTGTCACTGTGAAAGGCACTAATAAGAAATGAAATTGTGAATTCAGTTATAGAAAGTATGATGGAGTAAAAAGAGAAGGTATGCATCTCAATGTTCTCATTCACCATGTGAATCAAAATAACATCAAAACAGGCCTAAACTGGGTGTAAAAACTACCCTGGCTTTCTGAACTAAGGAGGTAACATAAAATGCTTTGCTGAGAACCTGACATCTAGAAAGACCTCAGTGCCTGTCTCTGCTCTCTCCTTTTCCTCCTCCACCGCCCCTCCCTGCACCTTCTTCTCATCCTGTTGGCCATCAGAAGTGGTCACATCCACTTGGTAAAAAGGGAAAATGCCAGGTGGTTACTTCCCCTTTCGACAAGTATCTTTTAATTTTAATCAGTGACAAATTCTGGACAACAACCTAAAAGTAAAAATAATCTCTTCCCTTTTTTCAGATTGTGTATTTCTATTTAAACCAAATATGCCTCTTTCTGCTATTCTTCAAGAGCCCAGATTCCCATTTGTGGTAGTAAGCTGTTGGCTGTGATGGGAGTAAGCATCATTTAAAGAATAAATAAATAAGCTGAGACCAAAAAAGCCCCAGCACTGCCTCATCTTGAACATCCAGATTCACGCCCCTTGTCTTTGCAAATGACTTTGGTTGTTTTGTAAGGGCTGTTCCATTCTCCTCACAATATCCTCTTTCTGGTCAGAGGAAACAGGAAGATGACCTCAGTGAGTACATCCGGATGTCTTCCTCCAGTTGGGACTTTTGTTGCAGATTTCATTTCTCTTCTGCAGTTGTCATCTGCAGATCAAATTCATCCAACTATTAAATAAACACTATTCCAGCAATTCCTCTAACGAACACAGCAGAGATTGCCAAATCTTGGCATGTGAACACACAACTTACCAGTAGCCTGAGAAAGGGTCGATGAGAACTTGACTGTGAGAAAAAGAAAAGTAAAACCTGATACAGAAGAAGGAAAAAAATAAAAAAAATAAATAAATAAAGTAACTCAGACAGCTGGCAAGTCCCACCAGTGCCTTCAAGCTTTTTTTATATATATTTCTGTGCAGAAGAGTTCACGAGATTAAAACGCTGCACAATGTTGTGGAGTATCTATTTTTGGCTGAGTTTGCAATGCTTCTTACCTTGATAATTTATCCACTCCCTCACCTAACAAATGCTAATTGAACACTTACTGTGTGTCAAGCACTATTTTAGTTTTTTTTCCCCCTTTGGAATTAAGGGAAAATGGTTAGCAGAGCAAGGAATCAGAAGTCAACTAACTTGGACTAATTACAAAGCAAACTCCCAAAAGGCTTATGATTATGTTCTGTAAGGGAGAGATTATAATTAGTGACAGCCAACTAATCACCTCTTTCCCCTCTGTGGTGCCCTCAAAAAAATTAGATAAGATCAAGGAATTTCTCAAACTCTATTTCCATATTAGTTAGTTTCTTGTGTTTTCTATTTTGGAATGCTTTCTCAGGTTCTTTGAGGATGTGGAGTGTGTGTTTTATGCACCACTTATTAATAATGACATTGACAATCCTGTGGACACCAATGGCTCACATTGTTCAATTAGGTCACAGGAAGAAACAAAATAAACCCTCAGAAACAAGTCCATTGCTTTAATGAAAGCAAAGGCAGGATGTAGATTTTCCAAAATGATTGTTCCGTTTGTTTTTTATGTTTATTTGAGAGAGAGTTTCAGGCAAATGTTTTCTTTGTCCATTGATAGTGTTATAAGGAAGAAAGTGTAGTTCATGAGGCAGGAAGTGTTACTGGTGCTTGCAAGCAGAACTTACTGATTTTATGGATCTACTTTTAAAAAATGGTGTGGGTGTTTGGCATGGTGTTTAAGTCACTGCATAGAATAATGAGGTTCAAGTGCTGGATCTAGCTTTCTTATGATGCATCACCTGGAGTCAGCAGGTGATGGCTCGAGTAGTCAGGTCCCTGCCACCCTTGTGGGAGGCCTGGATTGAGTTCCAGGCTCTTGATCTTGGCCTGGCCCAGCCCCAGCTATTAAGGACATTTGGGAAGCGAACAAGGATAGAAGAGGTGTTTCTGTCTCTTTCTCCATCTCTTTGCTTTTCAAATAAATAAAATAAACAAATAAAAAATTTTAAGCTACGTTTGTTACCTGTTTCTATGTATTTACTTCAACCTGTGTTAATTATTGTTATAAAGCAACTACCTTATGGAAGAAAGTGGATGTAGGACTGAAAGAAAATGAGTGCAAGCGGGTGAAGACATAGTTCAGTCTTGATACCATGATGTGATTCAGCTTGAATCAGAATATATACAATTTTATGCAGTCAGAATTGTCTGGAAAAAGAGATACATCTTAGCTAAGAAAAGTAAGCTTTTCCTCTAGGAAATTAAATGATCTTCTTTATGCCATCCTTTATCTTACACTCTTTTTCCTATCACTCCCAGATATATTCTGTTAGAAACAAAGAAGCATGCATAAAAAACCCCCGCAGTATTGAAAGCATGGTTATACCTAATTCCAAGAACTCTCCAGAGTGGCTGTAAGTGAACAGGAATGTCATGGCATGAATTTAACACATGTGCCAAGTTGTGCTGCTGTCTCCTGTCATAGGTGTCTCTCGTGCATCTCCTAAAGACTGTGCGGCTGCTACGCCTTCTGCGTCTCCTGCAGAAACTGGACCGTTATTCCCAACACAGCACTGTCGTCTTGACTCTGCTCATGTCTGTGTTTGCGCTGCTTGCACACTGGATGGCGTGCATCTGGTATGTCATTGGGAAAATGGAGCGGGAAGACAACAGCCTTCTCAAGTGGGAAGTTGGTAAGGTTCACACCTGTTGCACCTGTTTGCCCCTGTTGCATCTACTCATAACTTCTGCGTTTTCTATTGTTAAGTTGAAAAGGTAGCTTGTCCAGAACTTTGATGAGGAGAAGAATGAGTCTAGAAATACATTCTTTCTTATTTTCAAATTGTACTACCTGTTTTTTTTTTAAGTCTGTGATACAAATGATTTCTTCCAAAAGTTTTCTGGAAAAAAGTAACCCCTGTTTTTCAAAGACTGATGGCTTAAATTTTCAAGCCAAAGTAACTGTTCAGAATGACCAGCAAGACTGTGGCAATGTGTGAATAAGTTATATGTGATCTTATCTTGACCCATACTGATACAGAGCTACTAACAGTAAATCAAGAGGCAGATGGTCTGCATTATATCTATAATATTTTTAAAATCACAATCAAACTGTCACTTTTATTAGAAAGGGTGTGTAAATAGAAAAGAATCCCCATCATTCTTTCCTTTCAAAAGAGAGAGAACTGTCAGAATGACACATTAAGCTTACTTTCAAAATTTGTGAGCATAGGAAAGACTGCATATTTATAAATATAATTTGTAAAAATTTGATGTCCCCATAAAATGTGAGGCCCAAGTATTGCATAATGCTGCATAAATGAATCTGAAGCATTTATGCACATGAATACATTTTGAAACTTATGTTAACCACAGGAAATTTATAGAAAGTGAAAAATCTCAAGACCATAACCCTCCATCCTAAAATACCTGCATTCTCCTCTTAGACTTATCCTTAGACTTATCCTTTATAGAACTGTTAGAGTACCCTATGAAGGATTTTTTTTTCCTTAATCTGACATTTAAACAAAAGAATCTGCTTCTTCGCTGGCTAGAAAACTCTTCACTTATCTTCTCCACCAAAAATCAATCTTGAACTTTTGAAAGAGGCTGAGACCTTCGCCAGGGAATAAAGCCGCAGGAGTCTCCCAGGAGAGTAAAATGACCCAACTTTTCACACCAGCTCTCAGAGGTGGGCAGCACTGGGCACACCCCTGTGCTGGTTCTCATAAAGGCCACTCTCTCCCCATAGGACATGCACAAAGCCTTCAAAGGATGTCACTGGGGAATGAGCTGCAGACCTTAAGAAGCAAGATTAAGAAAGAGAATCTCCTGTGTGGATTCTTTAAAAGGCCCCACACACGTCTCAATTTTTTTCCTGAGCTACACAGAGCAACTGATGTGTTTTGATAATTTTCATATAAGAATCTTCCTTATCAGAACCTTTTTTCTGTATCTTGCTGTGGATCTAAGTTCTCAAACATGCAGGAAATAGGAAAATAAGACTTCAGAGTGAGTGTAAAAATATCTCAGATAAAAGGGAAATCCGATGACAGAGAGAGTGCGCGCACTGAAAGGACCAGGGTCTGAGCTGTACTTGCATTAAAACATTTTCTGTTCCTCAATGCTGTTTTCCTCTCTGTGACTTCTGAAGCCTTCCTCATTGTGTAGTAGAGCACCATCCCAACAGTGTTCAGTGAACTGCAGCATTAGGTCTGTGCCTTTTATTCTGAGTCTATACTAAAACTCTGACCTGTGATCAGCACCTAATTCCTTTTTAAACCTGAACTAATTTCCTTTAGGCACAGACCTACACATTCATATTAATTTGGAAGACTTTTCTGGTCTGAGTATCTCCAGATGGGGAAATCAGCTTATTCATGGTCTCAAATTTAGTTACATGAGAAAAGCTTTTTGCTTTATTTCCACATGTCAGTCCTCCTGCAGACATGCAACCTAGCTGCGGTTTTCCTTCCCATAAACATACAGACGTATCTATGTTCCAGGCAGAAAAGAGTCAACCACCTGAGCGTTCTCTGTGTTATCCCTTCTTCCACTTGTCCTCTTGATCCTGGTGTTGCAGCTAAAGGTAATGAACAGGAAGGAGATAGTAAGCTGTAAATCAATCCCACAAAAAGCATGGATGTGATAGAACAGTGGGAAGAGCCTCAAGGTAGCTGCTGTAGTTTTCTCCTATCATCATTGCTCTCTCTTTAACCTGCTCTCTGATTTTCAAAAATCTTATTCATCTGTATGGACCTCAGTTTCCTCACACAAGAAACCTTACCATATAACTTGAAGTCTATTTCAGTTCCCATGTTTTATGACTTCCACGGAAAAACAAATCCGATATTACCTTCATCCACACGTATGCAAGGGTACTTTTGAAAGTCATGAAAATAGTATTAAAAATAAATTTATTTTGGTGCAAAAATGTTTTGAAATTTATGTATTGCTTTTTCACAATGTGCACTTTCCCATGAACTTTTGTAAACCTCTCATATGCTTATGAGAATGTGTGTGTATATATGTTTTTTGCTTATATATCACTGTCCACCTAAAACTTCAGTTGGAACCAGTTAATGTCAACTGGGCATGTCAAAGAATTGGTGTTTTACTTAGTTATGATAAGAGTAACTGAACATTTATCTTTAGAGTATTAGATTCGCTGTCCACATACCTCTCCTGATATGATTAAGCAAGTAGTACATTAGTGATTTCTGTAAATATGATGTTTAAAGGCTTGTCACACGTTCTTCTCCTACATGAAAATTACTTTCATCATTTGTTCATTTAAAATGTTCTCTGAGATTGGGATACAAATTAAATAATTATGACTTTCCCCATTTATTTTTGTAGTGAACCTACTGAGAGTCTAAGCTAATTTAGTTTTTACTATATCATTTGTCAACTAATAATAATATCCTTTTTGTCCAATTACCATGAATCAAAAAAACTGTCACAAAAACAAAATTTGGTCAGAAAGCGTATCTTCATTTATGTTTGTGGTTAACATTGCCTGGTTAGAATGGAGTAGTCTTCTCAGATGGTAAATTTCCTTTCTACTCATTGCTAATTGCCCTAAAATTATGTTTTTTTCCTTCTGATCTCGTCAAAATCTCTACTTACAAGAAAAGAAGGGCTCCAATATTATTATACCAACTCTGATTCAATCTTTGAAAAATATTCCATTGTCATTTTTTCTAAGATAACTATTTCTGGAATGAAGAAGTGATGCTTGTAGACTTGCTATATAAGAATATGTTATTTGCTATTTGGTTGCAACTTTTACTTCATAGTTTTACTTATGTCCATACCACATTTTAAATAATTTTGAGATTTTAAATATTTTTTTTCATGTCTTATGGCATTTGAGACCTGGGCAGACCTTTGCCAATTCTCTGATTTTATGAAGAAAAATCTGGCTCTTGGTTCTGCAGCTTTACGAGTGAAGGGGCTCTGTTATGTTCTTTTCTGCAGTTTTCTTGTGGTTCCAGCTTCTGCATTATATAGAGTGTGCCAAAAAAAAAAAAAAACAAACAAAACAAAACAAAACAAAAAAAAACAACTTCAAATGAATCAAATCAATCTTCAAGGTAATTTGTTCATTGAATTACAGCCATGGTACGGGAACCTGGATTCCCTACTCCTGTGTACAGCTCCTTCTAATAATTTTGAATATTGCAAAATCATAGGGAGTGGCTACTTATCAAAGTCTTTGTGGCTAGGAAGATTGCGAGAAGAACAATGTGATCACTTCAGATTTGGTCATTCATTCAAAAAATATATTTAAGTTCTAATTATATGCCTGGCACTGTGTTAGGCACTGGTGATACTAAAACAAATATTTTTTTCCCAAAGAAACCCTTTACTTAAAGAGTACAAATTTCATAAGTATAACTTTAGGAATATAGCAGTTTCTCCACATCCCCTTTCTCCTATCCCCAATCCCCTCCCACCCCCTCCTCCCTCTTTCATGCCATTCTTCATTAAGATTCATTCTTAATTAACTTTATATACAGAAGACCAACTCTATACCAAGTAAAGATTTCAACAATTTGTACACACACACAAAATATAAAAGAACTGTTCGAGAACAAGTTTTACAGTTAATTTTCGTAATACAACTCATTAAGGACAAAGGTCCTGCATGAGGAGTAAGTGCACAGCAACTCCTGTTGTTAATTTAACAATTAACACTCTTATGTATGATGTCAGTGACAACCAGAGGCTATTGACATGAGCTGCCAAGGCTATGGAAGCCTTCTGAGCCCATAAACTATGTCAATATTTAGACAAGGCCATAAGCAAAGTGGAAGTTCTCTCCTCCCTTCAGAGAAAGGTACATCTCTCTTTGATGGCCCCATCTTTCCCCTGGGGTCTCACTCACATAGATCCTTCATGTAGAATGTTTTTTCCTTTTGCCACAGTGTCCTGGCTTTCCAGGCCCTAAATGCTCTCATGGACTTTTCAGCCAGAACAAAATGCCTCAAGGGTTGATTCTGAGGTCAGAGTGCTGTTTAGAGCATTTTTCATTTGATGAGTCTACTGTGTGGACTGCTTCCCATGTTGGAACATTTTCTCCTTTTTAATTCTATCTATTGTTATTACCAGACACTTGATTTTATTTGTATGATCCTTTAACACTTAATCCTATCTATATGATCAATTAAACACTTAATATGATCACTTTAACACTTAAGATGGCCTTATTACCACTCAGCTTAATGGGATTTGGAGTCCCATGGCAAGTTTTTAGCTTTATGCTTAAAAGTAAGTCGGTAGGAATGTACACAGAACTATACAGCTCCTCCCTCTAGCATTCCCACCTTATTCTTTACTGGGATCTATTTTCAATTGACTTTATACACATATGATTAATTCTATGTTAAGTAAAGTGTTCAACCAATGGTATTAAGAAGAAAAAAAAAACAAACAAAAAACTGTTGCTTAAAAGTCAATACAAGGGCTGCTCAAGTCATTTCTTCTCAAAGTGTCAATTTCACTTCTATAGATTTTCTTTAAGGTTCTCTATTAGTTATCACAGATCAGGGAGAACATCTGGTATTTGTCCTTTTGGCACTGGCTTATTTCACTAAGTATGATGTTTTCCAGATTCATCCATTTTGTTGCAAATAACCAGATTTCTTTTTTTTTAAATACACTGTAGTACCATAGAGTACATATCCCATAA